CCCCAGGGAGGTGGGACAGGCACCCAGGGCTGCCAGGAAGTATCTCCCCTAACCTGGCATTGACAGCATCTTTCCAGACCAGCTGATCATTGGTAACAGTCCCCAGCCTGGCCAAGGGGCCAAATCCTGCAGGCACCAGAGCGTGCTGAGCCCCTGCCCTGTACCATGCACCTGGGCTGTTTGGGGACCCACCAGAGGAGGTGCAGCATCCTCACTCAGCACATGTCCCAGGGCTCTGTTTGGGCACTCAATGGCTTTTCTGCAGCTGCCCACGCAGGAAGACCATTCCCTTTGTGGGGGAAAATCCCCTTCCAGCCCAGCACCTGCTTTGGCCAGAGCCTAGGTGATGCACATTTGGCCAGGAGGAGGAAGAATAAGTGTCACCTGGGATGCAGCAGGAGGTCCAGGAGAGCTGGGAACTGAGTAGATATCATCAGGTTCTCAAATCCCTCCTGTGACTTCAGCTGTGGTCTTCTTTCACCATTTGTCCTAAGGAAACGTGCCCTCAGCACCCCCAGTGACCTCCACCATCAGTGTGAGACCCCAGTCTGTCCCACTAACCCCTGGTGTCTCCCCTTCCCGTGACACAGAGCTGCAGAAGCAGACCAGGGAGGTGAGCGATCTCAGCCAAGAGGAGGTTTGAGACCCTCCACCAGCTTCTTGTGTCCCCCCCAGCTACCAAAACCCCAACTCTGTTGGCAGACCAGTGGGTTTAGAGGCATCCACTGTGAAGCAGCTCAGGGCCTCTTTGCAGACAGCCCTGAGCTTGCGAGAAGTGGCAATACCATCTTCACACGCCCTTTGCAGGCCTACTTCGGGAACCGACGGCCCACCAGCCTGCCTCTGCTTCACAAAGCCGAGCCTCCTCCTTCCACTGCAATTCCTGAGGGACAAACACTCAGAGGACCCATCGTATATCAGAGCTCTCCCTTTTCCCTGCTGATGCTCAACAAGGAACATGTTCCAGTTCCTTGTCTACCCACCTCCATTGCCAGTGCACCAGGGACCTCTTGGGACGGTGCACGTGGCAGCCGTGCCTTATTTCTGCCGGGCTTTGAAAGCTTTCGTAGGTGCCTGCACCTCCAAAACCTGCGCCCATCCCCTCTGCAGCCCATCCAAACAGCTGCTGCTGAAAGCATGCTGAGGGCCCCCTCCTCTCCCCACCACATCAGACACATGCAGGTGCCTCAGTGGCTCCTGCCCACGGGCCCTGACGCAGAGGTGATGGGCAGGAGGGGCCACCCACTAACGGCGTGTGCTGTGGCTGTGTCATCCTCGCCCCAGCAGCTCTTCACCCCAGCCCTGGGCAGGTAGCATGGCTACCAGGAGGACAACCCAGGTCGTCTTCCCCTGTACCTCCACCCTGCTAAAGCCTCCTCAACTATTTTCCACAAAAATAATTCTAAGCTGGGGTTTGTTTGGGGTTTTTTTGTTCCCTCCAGCACCTACCACTAAGGGGCTCCGCACCCCTGTGGTAGCCAGCCCTCCCAGGTGTACAAGGATGGCTGAGAGGCACCTGGGAAAGCCCAGGTCTGTGTGTGGGGAGGCAGCAAGTGAAAGCAGATTTAGGGCAAAGCAGGCCTGATGCTGCTGCAGCTGGCGCCAGGCAGCACCTCTGCCTGCTGGCCTTTGGACCAGCACAGAGGGGACAACTGGGAAGGATGCTGTGGCACTCACAGAGCACCTATGGGAGCAAAACTAGGGGGATTCAGCCCCCCCCCAGCCACAGTCCCCCTCAGGCAGAGCCCAGTGTGCTTTAACACGGTCCCCTTCCTCTGAAGCCCAGCTTGCCCAAGCTCCAAGACAAAGGCTGTGAGCCCCGGGGCGGTGGGGAGCAGCATGGGCACGACCCTGTCCTCAGAGGGGCCCCGCACAGGTGGGGACAGCTCGGCCGGGCATTTCCCAGCAGCTGCCTCGTGTAGAAACACCGTGTGCTCTGCGGTTTTGGAAAGTCACTTTTCTCACCCGGAGGGAGAACCGGGGTATCGGTTCTCAAAACCCGCACGAAGAAATCCACTGGCTCGCGCTTCCTGCCTGCGCTGCCGGGGGCTGTCCCAGCCCCCCCACTGCCCGAGAGCTGCCAGCCTGCTTCAGATGCCAAACCTGCAGGATTTTCAGGCCTGGCTGAAACATTTTAGCGTCATTTTGGTGCAGGGGGAGGAGCTGTCTTAAATTGACTCAGATCTACAGCTCCCTGCCCAGTTGACGCTTTCTCTCCCGATCACAGCCCAGGCTGCCGCTGCACATTTTTCCTTCAGTTTCTTCAACGTGAGAGCTCTCTGCCCTACTTTTCTCAGCAAATAAAGTTCCACATCCGTTTGCTTTTTGCTGCTACAAAACCCTGGCAGCTCCAGGGCTGGAGTCTAACTGAAATGCTCATCTCAGGTGCTTTGCAGAGGTCCTACACTCAGCTCTGGCAGCCTGGGAGCAATGAATCACTTGGGTGGCGTGGGCTGGGAGATACGGTGCACGTGTGGGCGAGCGAGCAAGCTCGCAGGGAAGCGGCTCACCGAGCCAGACTGCTTAGAGGCACCAGGTTCTTGGAAGCACTGTGAGCTGCTGCAGGCAGAGGAGGTGCAGCTCTCTCTGAAAGACCACCAGTGTTCAGCCCATTTGCCTCACTATTCTGACTCTATTGCACTTGCATTGCAGCCCCCGCCAGTCTTAACTCTACATAACCTGGAGCAGTTGCACTTCCTAGCAAGGGGTGAGGTCCCTGTGGGATTCAAAAGCCCCCTCACCTTCCCCAAGAGGCATGGTGACAACACACACTGCTCTCTGGGGAGTTTTCTAAGCAAAGTTTCCAGCCCTGGGCAGTGACTGTTACTGCAAGGCTGCAGCTTCCCAGGAAGGGAGAGGTGAACCACCGTGCCTGCAGATCCACACCCAGAGCCCAGCCAGACAGGCCCACCCTGCCCAGGGTCCTGTGCAGAGCCCTCTTGTCACCTCCTCCACACCATGGGGCCAGGGGACAAGGTGGTCTGGGACTGGGGAAGGGGTCCTGATGTGCCTCCAGCATTGGCATCCCCATCCTAGGAGCCAGGGAAGGAGGACACAACCTGGGAAGCTAGCAGGGAGCGAAATACAGCGAAATACACTGTGAAATACAGCAGAAAATGGAGATGTGCCTCAGGTCTCTCTAGCTCGGGTCCATCCCCAGCAGCTTCACTCCAGCCCACCCCGAGGCTCCAACCCCGCTCCACAAAGCCGTGCTGCCACCCCGTGGCACTGGCAGGGTGAGGCTTCGAGGGCCGGGCATGGCCAGGGTGATTGATCTCCATCACCCCCAACATCCTCCCGCACTGGCTGGAGCCAAAACCTCACTCCCCAGCCCCATTTTCTTCCAGCTAGAGGAAGAGCTCCCCATCTCATCCTCCTTGACCCCCTTCATTCTGAACCACGTCAGCTCTCGTCAGCCTCACATGGCTGCCCAGGCAACGCTGGCTGCAGCTTTCCTGCATCATTCTGCAGAGGATGAACAGACCCCGGGGGGGTCCCAGCTCACCCTGTGCCTCTCACCACACAGTCTGAAATTGCCCTCCAGGGCCCAGAGGTCTGAGCCCAAAATGTCCAAACCTGAGCATCCTGCACCGTGGGCTGGGACAGTCGTACCTCTCTCCCACAGACCTGACTGACTGGGCATTTCCAAGGTGCATTTCCTGCCCAGTCTCTGCAACCACGCAAGTCTGGAGGAAAATTGTAATAACAGGTAACTCAAGTGCTTTAGATGTTCCACAGGTATGTGTGAAAATCAGTCAACTCCCTACTCTGCCCAAGGACATGAACTTGCTGCTCCATCCTCCCAGGAGGAGGCTCTAACCCCCAGGTCAGGGGCTGAAGCACCCTCAGCTCTTCCCACAAAGGGTGATCATCTGCATCTGGAGGTGTCTGCTGGAGCCCAGCACCCACCCACTTGACTTCGTCCTGGTCTGCACCGAGCAAATACTCTTGACATCAGCAACATCTCTGCAAGTCCCCATGAGAAACGTGGTTTAAGACGTCCTTCTCTGGTGTTTCATCTCAACTAACACACCGTGACCCCCACATTGCTCCCGTGTGCTTTTTCTCCAGCCACACATCTGTTCTGAAACCCCCAGGAAGCCATGCGCTGCCTGACCTGTAGCGCCTGGGACTCTTCTTGGGGGCAGCTCTACAAAGCAGAGGACAGAGAGAGCACACTGCCTCCGCACTCCTGACAAGTGTCATTCCCCAACAGCAACACGTTCCCGTCACTGCAGCCGCTTTCATCCCAGATCAAATGCAGTTTTCAGGCTGTATTTGTTCTCCACTATTTGTCTACAGAAAACAAAACCTGAGCTTTCCAGTTACAGGATTACCTCAGAAAAACAATAAATGTTTATTTCAGGAGTTCCTGATCTAGGATTCTGCCCTTGTACAAGCCACTTGTGATCGGTGGCTGCTGCTGAACTGGATTAAACCAAATGAAGCAAGAGCCAGCAGCTGAGACCAAATCTCTCAGGAGCATGTGCAATGCAGACACCAACCATGCTGACACTCGGAACAGACAGCTACAAAATATGAGGCTGGATGGGTGTTTCCATCCCTGCTTGTCCCCTCCTCCCCTCTGCAAGGCCTGGTGCTGCCTCCAACAACACCAGCAACAGGCTTGTTGCATTCTTTCTGCCCTGGAGACCAGCAATGGCCACTTGAAGGACCTTCCACATCCCTTGTGCAGGGCCCTGCAGGCTCAGGGCACTGTGACCTCCGCATGAAATACTTCGCATTGTCTTACCTATTGCATCTGGCCGAGAGCTGTAAGGCACAATTCACTAGTCTGCTTGTGCCTGAAGTGAAGGCCACCCCAATTCAGGCAGGGCAGGATCTCCCTCTCTAGGCAGGAGCATGGTCCATGGCTTAAGAGTGATGGCTCGTGGGCTCCCAAGTCTGGCAGGCAGGGGACTGAGAGCAAAAGCCCTCACCACACCACCCACTCCCTGCAGCACGTGAAACCCCTGACTGCATATATAGCTGGACTCAACTCTGACCAGGCAGTATGTTTTATTAAAATATTTACACAGCTATATCCCAGCTCCCCTCTTTTCCACACCAACTGTAAAAAAGTTTGTGCATCACCATTAAACACCCCCTTTCTCAAACCTACTTGCACCCTCCCCCTTGTCAAGGCTCAAAAAATTGTCCATGGTCTGTGTGGGCAGGTTGTAGTATGTCAGAGTCCAGAGGTACTGAGTGAGAGGAGCCAGGCCAGCAAACTCCCTCTGAATCCAGGCTCACTTTCCCACATGCTAAAGCTAAGAGGTTTTGGAGCAGCACACCGTGTGCCCGCTGCCTGTCTGAAAGCAGCACTAGGGAACCCTCCAGGCAGTACAAGAGTGCCCTTAGGTCTTTATAGCGGTGTCTCGGGACTTGTAAGCCACGCCACGGCTCTTCAGCTCTCGGACGATCCCTGCAGCAAGGAGACAAACACATTTCAGTATTCTCTAGAGATGGAGTCCTGAAAAAATCTGGTTGCTCTGTCACATAGCCTTCGTTGCAGAGATCAGGCACTGGACAATCATCTTCATTTCTTCTAATAGAACCATTAAAAGTGTTCCCTCTTCTAGTGTAAACACCTAGATAGAGCTCTCAAACATCAACTCTTGCTTTGCCTTGGGAAAGAACCAGGTGATTTTTTAATTTACATTATTTCCTATATGAAAATGTTTGAATATTATGACTGTAACTGAACAGTTCTTCTTAAATCTTTTGGTCACTTCTGTGACCTGCTGGCATATCCCACCTGCTCAGTAACCCCCTTAAGAAGAGGGATAGCAGGAGAGCACCATGGGGTTCAGCACGGCTCTCCCCAGCACCATGGGACAGCCAAAGGACAGCCTGCAAGGCCCACAAGTGCAGCCTGCTGCTTACCACGCTCCCCAGTCCCCGTGCTCCTCCATGCGACATGACACAAGGATGGGCTGAGCAAGGCCAAAAACAGCATGTCCCACCTGTACCCCCTCCACCTGCTGCCCTGGGCTCCTGCCTGCGGTTGCATCAAGCTCACACCATCATCTGCTGCACTCCAGGTATTGTGGATGTTCCCCAAGCTGGCAGGCCTTGGCTTCAAGCCTTGTGATATTCCAGCTCCTTCCCAATGCAGATGGAGGAGCTCAGGTCAGAAATGAGGAGCCTGGGATTCCAGACAAGCACAGCTCTCACCTGGGGATATGGACTGCAGCACTCCTGGGTTAGGAGTCTGCTCTACAGCTACGTCCAGGGCAGCGGCTCTCAGCTAGATGGATCATGCAGTTTCTGCATTACAGAGGTAAGACCAACTCTCTACACCCCCCACTCCATTTATAAATGCACAAAACCCACCTTTACTGCCCTCAGTGCAGTATGATGATGGAAAGGGGTATCTGCTCACTGAGACTACCGTAACAGCATCCCATCCTGCAAACCTCTTTTCTATGGACAAACCTTTGTGTTTCCCTGTAGCTGAACAGTCTGAAACACACTCACTCTCTGGAGTCACTCTTTAATCACAGTTTAACCCTCTGACAGCTTGTCTGGTATCACACATTTCAGTCAGCAGCATCTTCTGACTGGCATAGTGCTGAACGACTGCAGGTAGAAAACCTTGTCTGCAGAACCCTGAATGCACCCTCCCGTCCAGCATCTCCCTCTTGTAGTCACCTTGCTAATCCCTTCACCCACCCGGCGTGTGCTGTTCACAGCACGCCGTGTTTACTGAACCCCCAAATCCTGATTTCACCCCACAGGTACAGCTCAATGCACTGCTCCGTATGTCACCTCAGAGGGGGCCACAGCTGAATGACCCCTCAGCTGCCCCCCGCCATGCAGGAGCCTCCCCTGAACACAAACCAGCAGCATTACCTTGGGGCAGGCGGCCGGTCACAGACACTGCATAGACACCAGGCTTGAAGTTACCTGGGGGAAAGAAAACACGGAGTTAGCCCACGCAGCAGCGGGCAGGTGGGCGAGCAGCCCTGCCAGCCTCTGCCTGACAGGCAGGGAAACCCCCTCTGCAGCCCAAACAACAACTCCCACTGCCCCAGGGAAGGGTTTGCTGGGAAAAAAAGGAGTCTCCGGCTCCCAAATCAGGTGGGAAAAAACACTCACTGATTCGCTGCCACTTGGAGACCCAGCTGTCCTCAGGGCTCATCATCGCGATGATCCTGCGGGAGGGATGGGAGTGAGGGGACGTTTCCCAGCCAGGTGACACAGCAGTGTCCCCACGGTGTCCCCCCAGTCACCCCGGGGAACGCCGCTGGCCGGGGCCCGGGCCCCACTCACCCGTCGAAGGAGGAGCTGGTGCAGTCGTAGACCATCTCGCGGTTGCCCTTCATCTGCAGGTAGGCATCGCAGTTGTCGCAGCCGTCGTACTCGAACTGGTCGATGGTCTGAGGGGCACAAGAGGCGTCAGCGCGGGGCCGGAGGAGGAGGAGGGACGCGGCCCCGCTGGGCCCGAGGCGGCCGCAGGGGCTGAGAAAGGGAGGAGAGAG